CTGATGAACTGTATCCGTGCTTTATTTATTTGGGAGCAGCTGTGTTTGTCCTGATAACGCGGCGTATTTGAAATCTCATTATTTGCACGTGAACCCGCCGGGCGTTTGCTGTGAGGGTTAGCGCTGTTATTGCGCTCGTGCGTCTCGCAGGCAGCATCAGGATCCCCGCGGGCGTTCAGCTCATATTAACAGCCGTTTATTGTGCGTCCGGGTCAATTTGAGCAGCAGTTCAGCGTCAGTGTGACGAATAGACCTGCTCACGTCTCTACATGAATCTAAAGCAGATCATTATTTCCTGCAGTGAAGTGTTTCTCACTGGCTGGGTTTAATAGAACTGCATTGATGTCAACAACCAATGAATATATTAGCTTTGCTCCAAAACAAGTGAACTGACATCATAGATTTATTCATTTTTAACAAATTAAACAAAAATATAATAATAATAATAATTATTATTATTATTATTATTATTAATTATAATAATTAAATAATCAAATATAATAAAAATACATTAAATAATAATAATTATTATTGTTATTAATTATAATAATTACATTTAATAAATAAATGAATTTATTAAATAATAATCATTATTATTATTATTATTATTATTATTATTATTATTATTATTATTATTATTATTATTATTATTATTATTATTATTATTATTATTATTATTATTATTATTATTATTATTATTATTATTATTATTATTATTATTATTATTATTATTATTATTATTATTATTATTATTATTATTATTATTATTATTATTATTATTATTATTATTATTATTATTATTATTATTATTATTATTATTATTATTATTATTATTATTATTATTATTATTATTATTATTATTATTATTATTATTATTATTATTATTATTATTATAGAATTAAATAAATGATTAAATAATTTAAATAAAATTAATAAAAATTTATTTAATAATAATAATGATAATACTATGTATTATTATTATAATATTATAATTACACATTAGACATATTTTTTATATAATAATAATTAATAGTAGTAGTAGTAATAGTAGTAGTAATGTGCATATTAAAATATTATACAAAAATAAAACAATTCTACTGACTTTCCAAAACTTAATGACCTGCCTACTTATAATACTTACAAATTATTTTAATATCAGTTTAATAACTGTATAATATTATAATGAATTATATAAAAATACATTATTTATTTTATAATGCTATTTAAGCATAATAATAATAATAATAATAATATGCTTAAATATTATTTATTTTTATTAAATTTTTTATTTAAAGAACATCGACAAAAAAAATCTAATTCATTTCAATGCAACATTGCAATGAGTTTTGGCTAAACCTTTGAATTTCTCAATTTCACAAAAAACTGTATGAAGCAAGAGTTTGGAACCGAGTTTGTATGTCTCTGAATAGTGAGTACTATAACTATATAACAGGTTTGCAGTACAAGAAAAATGTTTCCAGTAATTCCATGTGCTGTTTAACCATAATAGCATGCTTGGCTTTGACATATGAAGTCACACACGTGAGTCTGATCATTAAACAGGCCGTTTTAATGCATCAGACAGCAGAAACACGAGCACGAATGAAGCGCAGTGAAGTGGAAAGTATGGCAGAGATTTGCTTGTGCTCGTGCTCTCCACATTTATTTGTGGCGTGTGGTTATTGACGTGAACGAGGCCATTCTTCTCACAGAGGAGCTCTGAAGACATTAGCAGAACGATCAGGAGAAATCACATTAAGACGTTTTAGGACTGAAAAAGCAGTTTTTCACTCTTAAAGGAACACTCCACTATTTTTGAAAATAGGCTCATTTTCCAACTCCCCTAGAGTTAAACAGTTGAGTTGTACCGTTTTCGAATCCATTCAGCCGATCTCCGGGTCTGGC